TTAAATCACGTAACAATAACACAGAAGCCAGGACCTTCGAACAAACGTACTTCAGAGCTACGCAACATGTCGTGTGCCACGTATTGAGCGCGTACACACCAAGTAAACAAAATAACTGAAGATGGAACTTGCGTCAGCCAGGTGAAAAAGAACGAAGAAGTGATCACTCTTGCATGCACTTCCCACTCTCCGCCATCAGCTACAAAACAATTGGTTCTAGCATAAAATACATGAGACAAGATAGCGCTAGATTAACCATGCTGAAAGCTATGTTTCCTATGAGTACCTGACAGTCAGCATTAAAGGCGGCATGCATTCAATGACTTTCATGCTCGAAGTTTTTCGGTATGTCACGAATTCGTGACACTAGACGGTAAAGGGTTACTGTAGGCAATGGTTGCAGAAGTTGGTTAAGCTGTAATGATGACAGCTTTTTCATTACTGTCATAAAAGCAGCCCACGAAACTTCCCGACAAAATTTCCCTGCACCCTCCCGGCTGAAATCTTGCGCATCCATGAGTACTACACAATTCAGAATCACCCAGTGTTGTACCGTTATTGAGCCATCGAGGAACACTGAATGAATATTGCCGTGTATGCTTATTTATTTATTTTAATGCGATCAGATTTGAGACACAAAAGCAGTTATTACCACTGGGTACAGGCCACGTCAATATGTGTAGAAAACTTCTAGACCATTTTAGACTCTTCTGATAAGACTGCGTCCATGAGACGAGTAGTTGAATTGGTTTTGCAGGTACTGCAAGCACCTCCAATAACTGCTGGAAGGTTCACTCACTCATATATAAAGGACCACAAACTCAGCTAATGATAGTATCACTCTTACCAGTGTTTGTACTTTGACGTTAAATTCACTGTGTACAGGTTCACCTAATATATTGAATTTTCGTCTTGTACTGTCTGAATGCCACTTTCCTCGCTATATAGACCAAGCAACAATATTTTCGACTTGTAGCTGCACTACCGGCATTATATATATAAAAGAAAAACTTGGCTTATTCCCCCCCTTCAGGAATCGGTATAACACGAAAGTGAAACATATCTTTACAGAAGTAGTTGAGCGGTCATTGTGCATTGTTCCAGGAACAGCAACAAATTGCAAAGTTAGGTTAAGAATGGTAGGCAGCTCGAAACTTGCAGCGCACACCTTAAGTAGAAAGCACGCACACAATTAGCATACACAGGACGAGCGCGCAATAGCAACTGTCACAGCGCGACACTCATAGTGTGCTGTTAAAACAGAAAGACGCACGAAACAAGCGCACAAGTACACACAGGACAAGTGCAAACAATTGTCGCAATTCTTCTTGCATTGTGCGTCAGCAGGGCGCTCTTATCGTAAACGGGGTCGTGGTAGCGTAGCGTGGATAGCGCCCCGCGCTGAGAAGTGAGAGGTTGGTGGTTCAATTTCCTGCGACAATCGCTTGCTTTCTGGTTTTTTTTTTCTTTGCAATATGTTAGTATATTTTCAACGTGACTTCCGTGACGGTAGTGCATCAGCGGAGCCATGATGGACCACAGCTAAAAACATTTTTGCGTTAAAATAAAGCTGGAGTTGTTCGTGGATATACCTGACTGAATAGTTATGACAATAAAACTGTTTCCCAGTTGAAACTACTGCTGACTTGCCCCCATCACAACTCTTTTTTACTCTAATCTTCTGCCTGTCAAGTGAACATTTCAAACGAAGAAAAGATAATCAGCATTAACAGCAGACTTACTAATCACAGTAAACCTTTGTCACTTCAGCAAGTTCCAATTTGGAAAAGCTTCAGCTCTACCTATGTGCTAAATAAAACTACGATTTGCAGACCGATAGTCTACTAATTTGATTTTTCAGAGTTCCACGATTTTCCTAGCTCATCCGCGAAGTTCCTAAGCACAATCAGTGACTGGTAAGCTAGCTTAAAAATATAAAAATAAGCCCTAACACAATAAAATACAAAAGAAAAAGACGGTGCATATGCATAAGCAGCAAGTTATCTGCTTCATCACGAGCGCTGCTTCGTGATGAAGCAGCGCTCCTGATGAAGCAGCTCATGTTCTCTTCCTTAAACAAATTCTTTTACACATTCAGAAGACATAACTCCTGGGCATCTACAAACAGAATAGTAGCTGGTTTATTTGCATTTGCAGTGATTTTAATTAGACTCGGCTCATCAATGCACCATAGAGGCTTGAAGCTGTGCATCTTTCAAAAGCTCTTGTGTCTGCAAGTCAAGATCTCTTACAAAAACAGCAGTTCTCTTCTTTTTTTTTTTTTTTCAATGTCAGATTACTCCTGCTTCTCCGTCTGCAATTCTTTGTTTCATACGACTATAATTCTATATGATGCGTAATTGTAGCAACTTGAAAAAGAAGTTGTCACCCTCTTCTCTTACATACATGTAAACAAGTTAGTGCTTGCTATAATTTTGGGAAACCATTTTAACACCTGCATAGCATTAAGATAGACCATAATTATACATTATCTCTATTTTTATTATCAATATACGGTTAAACCTCGACGTAATTAAGCCAATCAAGGTCAGTGAAGGCACTTTTGCAAATTTAATCTGGATATTCAAAGGCAGTCAAGAGAGTGATAAGAAAATCTGTGCACAAGGCAGGCGATCCAAAAATTTTGTGAGCACGAGAAGGACTGTGCATTTGCTTTGTAGGTCACCAAGCTTCTCAAGTGTGAAAACCCAAGGACACTAAAATCATCTTGGTCTGCGAAAAAGAGGACGACGATTCCGCGGCTAGGTGAACATTTCTGCTGTAAGTGGCACTATGAAGACACCGCCTGTTTGGCGCCATTGAGCTACGCCACACAGACCACTTGAAGCGCGACTCGAAATGACAAACACTCGCTTCAACCATGATCTACTGTACTCCTAACCTGCCCAGATGGCGGGGTTCCTATGGAAGTGCGTGTCCTCACTCTCGTTCAACCGCTCACTGTTGGTGACCTATAGCCTGTTCATCTGCCACTCTATGGCTGGTTGGACGGTGCTGGAGTAAGAACTGCCGCATTCTGTGATGAACTACTGGCATATATGTGACTATTTCTGCAAACTTAGAAGGCTGGTTAAGTAAGCTATTCAGCACGGTTAAGTATTTATTGCACACGGTTGACAAACAGGGGGACCCGTAGGCTCACAGTGTAGGTCAGCCTATGTGGTGTCACGTCCATTTATTTGCGAAAAAATTCTGAATGACTGCTAGTATATTTATTTCCGACTTATTTTGCATTTATGGATAATAATTGCACAATATGAATGCTCTGTAGGCCAAAATACAGCCAAAAAAGCTGAAACTGACGTCAGCGATCAGGTATTGACTCAGCATTCAGGGCCTAACAAAGCCATGCCGCTTGTAGGTTACGGCTTTGTTAGGCCCTAGCGGCAGAAGGTATGAAGAAGACGTAGGCGCTGGAGAGGGACTGTCTGGGCAGGTCAGGAGTACAGTAGGTCGTGGCCTCAACAGTCGCCACAATGATAAAAATGGCGGCCTCGTGTGTTGGCTACCAACGGCTATAATGCCGTATAGACGGCGCTGGTTGTTCACTACTTTTTTTTCAATAAAAAACGGCACGTTTTTCAAAATCCTGAAATTCAAGCTGACCCTGGAGTTTGATGCAAGGAAATTTGAAAAACTATCAGCCTAGATTCAAATAAATACGGTATGTTGCTGGACTTACACTGTCCAACTGCATTCCCCTAAGATGACTTTAGGAAGAGAGGCTCTTTTTCACTATTGTATATACTGCTGGGCATAACATGACATCACTTGGCTAGCTTCATGAAGCCAGCCTTCTCCGACCCTCTCATCTTTCTCAGGCTTCTCTATGATGGGACAACATGATTTAACAAATTCGTTTTATTATTACAGTGAAGTTATATATGGCTAGAGTGTTCTGTCTGTACACCAATAACCTCCCAGGCATCCTCTAGAAAGCAGTGTGAGAAAGGAAAACAAACCTCACAAGGTACCTTATGCATATGCCTAAAAAAACTCAAAGGCGAAAGCCATGTTGTTTTTATTGCGGTAGAAATATATGGACATTTTCGACTACTTTTTTTTACTGTCGCTGTCATGTTTTGTGTAATCTCCAAACAAGTAACATTCCCTCGAGAGTAAAAGCGTGTGATGTTGCACGAAGGGAAAATGTGATAACGTCACCCCATGTGCAGGCCTGCCATCGATCCCTACTCAAGCAGAGCACACTGCCCGTTTTCGAAAAGCATGAACGAATGCAGGGGGGGGGGGGGGGGGTGGCCTTGTGACTCTAAAGCAGTGAATGTGAACTTTGACTTTAAGAATGCGGTCACTGGCATGCGCACGCTATTTCAGCAGGCATTACAGACAACTCGTATACCCTCCTACACCTTGTACTCTCAAGGCGAAGAGACTGTGCAAAAAGATCGTTTTTTACTGCAGTGGCCATATAGGGGATATGCACTAAACCTTTATCGCAAGATGGTCACACCTTCACTGCACCATTTTAGAGGTCCATTCGTATGCGCCATTCATGCTTACATACATGGCACGCAAGAGGTGTTCCAGGGGCAAGTGTAACACTAGGGCAATGGTGACACATCACTGCTCCTAGCTCCACCAGCTCAGAGCTTGGCTGCAGTGGTGACATCGTGTAAGTTGGGGGGAAACCTTCAGGTGACCATAGATGATGTCAAGCACGGGATATGGCATATAGAGCAGGAGTACGTCAGCAAACATCGAAATCCACATTTATTACCTTCCAAGCTATATTTGCTGCTGAAATTTGGTAGGTTATATAAACATGTTCACGGGAATCGATCCCACAGACTATCCTGGCCACAAAGTTTTGTGTGAGTACCCCCTTTAAAATTAATTACAAAAAAATACCTATGCTGTTTTTCAAAATGTCCATTTAAAGTAATTCTTTCTTTTTTAGCCAGCTGTTCAGCAGCATCTCAATTTTGTGCTTGTGTCTGTGTGTGCATGCTCCCGCTTACCGTCAGTAAGCCGGAAGCGGACTCCCGCAATCTTGTGACCAGTCAGGCACCCCTTCTCGCACATCGCTCGGAAACCCTGCAGGATTCAAACAGGTGAGCACATTCATGCCTGCACTGTGGAGTGGTAGTAATGTACCCCAGCCTTCACTTCATTTCACAATTTGCTCTCACGAAAGAGCCAGACAATGAAGCTCCTGCCACAAGATAATTCTGCACAATTCTTGTCAAATGCAGCTAAGAATTATTGCTGTAATGAAACACTGCTTAACTGAAATTCTGTACAGCCCATGTGGGGATGAAAGGTCAAAAGCAGTTCACATTTTGGCTCAAACTAGGGTGGTTGTAAATAAACAAACGATGAACTTATCTTACTTTGACAGGCCCCACCTTTTGAAACTGTGTAGAATTGAGTCATTAAGGTTATGCTAGAACTTCAGGTAGCGGTGAAAGCACACTTTTTACATTTGGCTCTGAATTTGTTGATCACTTTTCGTGGGCCTAACAAAGCAGTTATACATGTGGATCAAAACTGTAGCTTTGTTCTTTTTGAGAGAGATGGCAGTGTGTCACTTATGTAACATCAACTCTTTTTATGTTGGGTTTTGTAGCTCAAAAGAAAACTAAGGCTGTTCTGGGCCAGACACAAGGTGAAAAATTTCTATAGTGAATGCAGCATACACTATGTGTTTGGCAATGACAAATGCATAAAATTAGGCCTCTGCTGCTCAGAGGACCTAAGACTGTATAAACATGTAAAACATATATATCTGCACAGTAAGAATTATGTGCATGATATATGGGATGGTCGATGAGTATAGCGTTGCTGCCCTGCCCATGTACTTATGCCCAAGAGACAGGGGCAAGTGCTTCCTTTTAGAGGAAGTGCTTAGAATGTGGCCCTGAGGCACACTGTCTTTCCGGCTGAATCAAGAGCACTGTACCAAAGCACTAAACCAAGACCCACATAAATTGCTCGATTAAACAAAATCAAAAAGACAATGCAGCATTTTGACACAAATCACCAAGTATGCCAAGTCCCTCATAATTCCAGGCGTCCATGCACCTGTCTATTTCTGATGCGTAGCCCATTTTTAAGTGCATGTAAACCCTATCGCCAAGGTCATCACCCGTCTTTGTTTTCCCTGTACGACTTTGTCATCACCTCAATTCCTATGTTTGATCAATTATCCACCTTTGTGCACTTGTCACATGCCTTTAACTTGGTGTTTGAGTCTATGCTGGTGACGAGTTCTGAAAGAAAAAGTGGTGGCAACTGCCACTGGTGTCTCACTGCTTATTGAGCCATTGAATGAAGTTTGTACTCGCTATCAATGTGTGACAAACTGTAATGGGTAGTGGTCCCTGGTGAGTGTGATAGCAATTGTCATCCAGAACTGCTAAAAGGCTTACGATGACACCTGGACCTGAAGTGCGCAAGACAGCCAAGTCTGCTACATGTGTGGCCTATAAGATGAAGTCGCAGAAAGATTAGCTGCGAATACTTCGGCAATGTTTCAAAACTGCAACAGTATGACAAGTTTGCATGAACATCAGTTGAACTAACGACCGCTTTTGTCACGATCAAGAAAACGGCAATCAGTATGAGAACGGAGAACTAAAGTTGAAAATCAGTATTTTACGTGGACGTTCTGGACTGTATAAGGAAGATGCGCACCTTTAAGAGTTAATCTTGCAGCAGTTGTTGAGCTGTGGCCACCAGGCAAATATCATGGACTCCTTCAAATCAATGTGCACTCATTCCAGAGTACTTTAATAAGTTCATTTTTCATGCTTTTACAGAATAACACATTAACAGATGTGAATGCATCAAAATTTATTGTATCGAGATTTCACAACACTAGCTATCACTGAAAATCCTATCTTTATAAGTGCCTTTAGCAATGTGCATGGCCGTGCGTGCAGAATAGCACTGTTGTGTAAGCACACTGGACACCATTAATGGGCGACAATGCAAATAAATGCACAGCACTGCTCCTTGCTGCTGCATCCTGTAGGCCATTTTCAAGCACACCAGTGCCCCCAACAGGCGCGCAAGCACCAACGGGAAAAGTTGGTATGCTGGAGCAGTCACTGCGACGAGTGTGCGTGCGAGCCTCCCGCTTTACTTTTCTGCTTGAGCCATTCCAGGACTTCTTAGACGCCGCAAATTTGACAAGGTGCAACATATTACAGTTGACTCTCGATAATTCTAACTCGAAGGGGCCCAAAAATTTGTTTGAATTAAAAAAGTTAGAATTAATGAAAGCTAAATAAACGGAGGGCTCTCCATGCAGTGGCGCATGTGCATTGAGCTAACACATGAGCGGGAAGTTTCAGAAGACTTACATTTATTCACAAATCACAGGACATCCGGTAATAATTGAAGTAATAGGTGATGCCCATCTGCACACGTTTGCCTTGCAGCTAGTCAATCAATTTCGCAGGCAGCTTGCAAAGCATTTCTACTTCGGCTTTAGCATTCTCCTGGCAAGAGAAGTTGCGCGCCGAAATGTCCAGCGCCGACACTTTCTAAAGATGGTTACAACGACTGCGTAGCCTCTCCGCTACCCAGCCGCAGCGTGGCCAGCACGTGACGAGAAAGGAGGAGTGTATCCTAGCGGCGAGAAGCAGATCGGCATTTGAGAGAGAACCAACACTCCACTGCAGCTTTTTTTTTTCTTTTCTCTCTTCGCACGCGTCGTTGAAAGAAGAGTCTATGTGGCAGAGACGGGAAAGGGGGAAGCGGGGCACCGGCATGTGAGAGAGCCAACACTCCGCAACAGCTTTCTTTTTTTTCTCTCTCTCTCTTCGTGCGTGGCATTGAAGAGAGAAGGGTATTTACGTGGCAGGGACGGTAAAGGAAGAAGCCTGACACAGGCGCATCGCAGATCCGCATTTGAGAGAGAGCAAACATTTCACCGCAGCCTTTTCTTTTCTTTTCATTTCCTTCGCGCACAGGGTTGAGGTGTCGCAGGTGCCACCGCGGGATTGGGCGGGGTGCTGAGAGCATTTTCGTAGCATGGTATGTTCGAATTAACCGTCGCAAATGCTTGCGTGTTCGAATTACTGGGTGTTTTCACCCATTGGAATACAGATAGCTTTGACAGGACCTCATCGTGAGTTCGAATGAACCGGTAGTTAATATTAAGCGTGGTCGAATTAATGAGATTCGACTGTATTGCGAAATCCAATCCCGAACTTCGGTGTTTAGCTGCAAGGGTCTCTCGACAATTTCCATCAGTCTACTGTAGGATCTGTTGAGCGGCTCAGAAGCGTCATCCATTCTTTTACCCATTACGTGAGTGCTTTACGACAAAAAATGAAATAAAAAAAAAAGAGTCAAACCTCGGTTGCATATGAAGCGCACGAGCGGTCTCAGATTCGCGGATGCATTTGAAATTAATGTCCATTAGCACTGTCGACAAGTAGAAATACTATAATTTTCAAAGAGTACTATAGAAAGTATAATTGGCATTCAATAAAACAAGATACATTTACTAACAACCCTTGTTATAATGGAATTTAATGAACTAGCCCAAATAACCGTTCTTCTTCATTGAACAGCGTGAACGACACTTGCACCATATATGTAACAATCAACAAGTGTCTACCAACCTTCATTGGCACAGAAACTACAAGTTGAAATACTACTTAGAGCAAAAAAAAAGAAAAAAATATAGAAAAACAAGGAAGACAGTACAGGCACCATCTAGCACTCACTCACAACTGATAGTTTCTTACTCGCGTGAAAAAAAGATCTACAAAAATGGGGGTGTAGCATGCGTGTTGTGAAGAGGCACGAAAAGTCAAACAACGAATGCGCGTATTAACAGTCAATAATTACAGCTGAATTACTTGTCTAGTAACAACCATGAAGGTCTACTTACACAAAGTGAGGCGTCAATCATGACATAATATGCCTCCACAATTTCTCGCTTTGTCTGATTAGGCTGGTGGCACAATACTACAGTGGTTTTGAAGACTGGATCTCATTTGCATGACTGACATAGTGAGGCAAGATGAGACAGCTCCATTAAATGAATTTCGGTGCTCGCTGGCACACATGTTAAATCGACCAGTTCAGCAGATCCACAAGTAGACAAAATGAAAGAGAAAAATTTGCGTTTAACTGCTACACAATAACTGACAAAACAACTGATCGTATTTTCCTTAGGTCACTGCCGACTAATGATAATATATCTAGTGTTATACATCCCAAAACCAAGATATGAATATGAGAGATGCCATAGTTGAGTTCTCTAGAAATTTCAACCATCTGGTGTTCTTTAACGTACACTGACATCAAACAGTACACAGGCCTCGACCCTTTTGCTTCAATTAAAATGCAACCACCATGGTTGGGATCGAACTGATGACCTCTGGTTCAGTAGCTCAGCACCATAGCCACTGTTCCACCATGGCGTACCTGACTGCCAACTCTTGCGCCTTCTTGTGCCCTACGGGAAAAATGCGACTAATGTTATTTGTGGCTGCAAGCACAACCCTTCTTCAACATCGCTTCCTTACATTCTTCAGACCATGCGACTTGTCATAGATATATACATTAACTGAAATATTTCTAGCTTCTTCATTATTCACTGGTGAAGTACATTCGTATTTATTTTTCATTGCCGTGCAAACAGATTTTCAGAAACCGATGCCACGATACACAAGATCCCTGCCTCTTTGAGGGAGCTGGAAACTACTGTTCATCTTCTGTGAGCAAGTTTTTCTTTTCTGATGACATGCTTAGCACGACGTCACAATGTCTAGTTTAAAAATATTCGAATGTGCAGACACAAAATGACGCGAACCTTGAACCTCTAGTGATATGACGCCATCGACAAAGACTTAAAATGTTATGGCTAATTCACCACGAACACGTTAAAATAGACAAGGATTTGTACATCAAACCGTGTGGCCGGCGCCTTACTCGCTCGTCTCACTCCCTCAAACAAACTGAATACTCCTGCCGAACCAACATCTTCAAACAGTCTTTTTCGACGTGCCATCCATGAATGGAATGCATTGTTTGAATATGTACTGCAGAGCCCAACCATATCATAGTTTGTCTAT